TTTCTGTGTACCCTCACCAGTGCACCAGGTGGCTGGTAAGAACCCGAATGACCATCAGCGCAAAACCTGATCTTTTGAATACACCTCACACTGCTCCTTCTTTTCATACAGTAACTTCTTCGTTCCCTACTCATCCAAGTTGTTCTGCCGCTGCGTTGCACAGCAGCCTCCTCCTCCTTTCCTTTCTGTGCTAGAACCACCTCTCCTGATGGCTTGCCTCTCCTCCTGATGCCCTCCTAGATGAGATTGGCTCTTTCGGTTGCATCCAACTAACAGCAGAAAGTGGCTCTGTGACCACCTAGTGCATGTGTGTGTGTTTCCTATCGTATCCCACCGATAAACTCTCATTTTACATTTTGCTGATCCTGAAGCGCATCGCCGTACATCTAAAGCTCAAGTTCATCACGCTGCTCTGCTCTTGCGTGGTATCTCAGGACGGGTTTGTGGGTGTTGTTAATACCTTCCAGCCTCCTGTATCATCATGCTCGATACAACTCCGTATAATGAACACCCTGTGCTGTGCGTGGCTTTATAAAAATCAGACTTGCTTCTGCCTTCATCTTCCCCACAGCCCTCTTAGCCCCCATTTCAATCCTGCTTCGTTAATTCCAATCCTTGGTTCAACCAGCAATTTGCTAAACCCTTACCCTGTGTTCTTGTTAAATGAAGACCAAACACGTGACATCTATAGTGCAGTTCTTTAAAAATGTCACATGCCATATCAAAGCAAACTCTGGCCTTATCCAACCCATTTCCTGATTATTTTTTTTCTTGTTTTTCTCTAAATTCCTAGGTCTTTAACTGGCCTTTTTTTTTCAAAACGCATTCTGAAGCCTTGCTGGCTGAGGTAGTCATTTATCCCGCTAAACATGCAGTCCCTTCCAGCATTTTAACATCTGTAGGTTGAAAATAACCCTCTCTTACCTATATTAACGTTGCTTTTTAGCTACCTTGGAGATCCACTCAGACATGAGAGCTGAGGTTAGCAAGGCGTGGTCTGCTCTCAGCCCTTCAGAGAATGCCTGCCCTTGCTAAGTGATAAAGGCGACTTTCTGTACTGCCAAAGCTGCCTCCACTTTCAAAGCAGTACTGTGAATAAAGAGCATGCAGCTTGCTTTTGCTGTTGATGCATGACGAGTACATTTGTTTAAATTGTTAGGATTTTGGGATGGCTGAAGAGTTTGCTACCAAAGCATTGGATCTGAAACCCAAGTCTTACGAAGCCTATTACGCCAGAGCAAGAGCCAAGAGGAACAGCAGGTACTGTCTGATTCTGTGTCTCTGGCTGCACAGAATTTGAACTTCCTAACACTTTCAAGAACTGTTTTTCTTTTCCGCTGGTTGTATTTGGTATCAGTTAAAGCCAACCAAAAAGCAATATTGCCTGCTCATGCAGGTAATTATTAGGCAGTCCAGAAAGTTAACAAATGGATATGCAGAGGGATTATTTTAAGCGTAGGAGTGAAGGGGACTGCTGCTCCGTGTGACCCGGCAGAGTGTTGTCAGTGGTGTGCCACCGAACTCGGTACTGCATTATTTATTAGCAGGAATAACTGGGTGCTTTTATACGACAGGATACAGTGAATCATCAGCAGTTCAGGATCAAAACAAGGGGAGGGAGGAGGAACCATCTCTTGAAGCTGGAAAAATACCCAGCCACGGTGGTGCAGCTGAAGTGGAGAGAGAGGTGCCTTTTTGATTCACTGTGTCTTTTCTAAGCAGAGCAATGAACTGTCGTGAAGCAGCAGTCAGCAAGTTGCCTACTCTGAAGATACCAGTAAAGGGCTTACAGGCGAAGCTCCAGTCCCTAGTGTTAGCAGCAGGCTTCTCCTGCCTTCCTGCAAAGCTGTTACAATACAAGGGGAAGGGTTTAGGGCCAGAGCTGCACTTTCACTGTAGGAAAGAATTTGCTGGTTTGGAGAACATCCAGGTCTTACATTGCCACCACCTGCAGCAGGAGATGACAAATCAGAGTATTTCTGTGACAGTGGTGGAGGTGGATCAGTAGTAGGCAATGCTGAGATTCATTTGCCCCAGGTTTTTATTGTTTACTTTTTTTTTTTCCCCCTAAACAGAAAGCTGCTTGCTGCTCTTGCTGACTTACGTGAAGCCACACAGCTGTGTCCCAGCAATCAAGAGATAAAACGTCTCCTGGCTCGAGTAGAAGAGGAATGCAAACAGTTCCAGAGAACACAGCAACAGAAGCATCAGTCTCCGCAGCTGCTACAGCAAATTAACAACTCTGATAATGAGGAGGAGGGCGTTATACAAGGTGTGAATGATAGTTTTAATCTTCAAGACAGGGAGGAAGAACTGCCATGCTCTGATGAATCTGCTTCCTCTCCACAAAGGCTGCAACGCTCCTTAGCTGTTTCCTCATACAGCAGGACCCTTCAGGAAGGGGCTCAGCAGAAAGCTAGGTCTGTGTCCCCTCAAGGCAGAACAGGCAGCAAATACCTGCGGGAGCCAGGCTTGATCGTGCAGCCGACAAAGCAGGCACAGATTGTAAAAACTAATCAGCACCTGAGCTCCATCCAGCCTGGATCAAAAATGGGAAGCAGTCAGTGTAACACAAAGACACAACCATCTTTTCAGCACCTTCCCCAAAGTCCCTTGCCAGTCCGGCACTCTAAAATTCAGCACTTGGATGGGACAAGCACATTGTCATCGGGAAGTGTTTCCACAGGTCCTAGTTCTGAACTGTACCACGAGAAGTTTATGTCCAGCCAGTGTTCCCATTCACAGCTTAATGAGAATCTCTCTTCTCATTCTTTGGCAAGTAAGTCTAAAACCACTGACAGGTTAACAGCCCCATCTCAAACGAATTTCAGTGAAGCAAGGCAGCAAAGTCCTGTAAGCAGTGGTGTCTCTTCTGGCTCTCCATCTGGTAGCATGGTTCTTGCCAGCTCGACCAGCAGCTTAACTCCAGCCAGTAGTTTTCCAGAGAGTATTAAGGGGCTTGGCCCAGACGTTCGACTCAAGGAGAACGTTCATCAAGTTCAGGGCACTGTTGCTGAACACAGACCTCGCAATACCCCATTTATGGGGATCATGGATAAGACTGCAAGGTTTCAGCAGCAAAATACTCAATCCAGTCGCACTTGGCACTCTCAGGCGTCGGATGGATCATCAGCAAATGTTGCTTCTGGGGGCATTCAGTCCTCAAATTTTGAGCAGTTCTCAGTCAAACACTACCAAATGAAAATGTCCTCTGCTGGTGCTGCCCCAGGAGATAGCAACCAGAATGGTGTGCAAGCTAAAGACCACGAGGAGATTAAGTGCCCAATACCTGCCCACTGTCAAGACACCAGGGCACCTAAACAAGCTTCGCATTTATACTCAGACGCTGCATCCAAACCGCAGGCTCACATCAGTAAGGAAGGTCCTCATCTAAGTCATGTCACCGCTACAAAACCAAAGCGATCATTCATTGAATCAAATGTATAAATACGATTTTGTGTATTCACAGGGTTGTAGAACTTTTAGCTCACATCATAGGTTATTACTTCTATGCGAAATACCGCCCAGCTGGTCACTGGGGAGTTTAAGCTGTCCCACCTTGGCCAGTACTTAACGGGATACAACCACTTAAACTGTTCCTACCATCACAGGACGGTTACAGTAACTGGAATGGCAAATTTGTGTAGAAGGCGTCAATTAGGCTCAGCCATCCACCAGACTAGGACCTCAGTTAGTGAAATCCTTTCCAGTACCTTTCACCATTGGTAAGACTTCCCTTTTACATAAGGCTTTAATCATGGCTTTTGGTTATGTTACATCTGACCATGTACATAATAATTGTGCCTCTATAATGCTTAAGTGCTTCTCAAAACAGTGTTAAGATATCTCAGAGCTGTATATGTACGGGGTTTTTAAATCAAAGTATTTTATCACTTTTCTAGTGGGATCTGATTTGGGTTGCATGATGTACATTTAGGAAGCATAAATAATTTGTGTATGAGCAAACTATAAGTAAGTGGCCATGTTTTGACATGTAAATATACCAATTTTTAGTAACTAGAAGAAATCAAATAAACCGTGACGTTTGCATGTGTATTGAAAGGCTTTGACCATATTGGTTACTGCACTGAAGAACACAATATTATGGCATATTAACAATAATCGCACTTTATATAGTTTATCTAATCACCTCTGGGTGCTATCTTAAAGCAGAATGATTTATTGTTTGTTTGTGAAAAGGTACAGCAATGAAATGTTTAATAAGTGGGTTTATGGGAAACCCAGGAAATGGATGGAGTGAAGATGAAAGTTTGGGGAGGCAGTGACTGTGCGGTTGTGCGGCGGGATGAGGCTGCTGGGGGGGCTCGGGGGGAAAACAGGTTTTATATCAGCGAGGCCATTCTGAAAATGAGCAGCGGTAGTGACGTTCCCGTGAGTGCAGGTAGGCTGGGGTGGGCACCCTCACAGGGTCCCTTCCCTCGTCCTCTTTGTACGCAGTGTTTGATGTACATCGTAAACAGCCGCACCGTGGTTACAAATTGAGTTTGCATCATTATGCTTGAGCTTATTTATTATTTCTTTGATACTTTGTACAAGTTCTGTATTAGTCTCATCCTGTAGTTCTATTTTTGCACAGCTACTGTATTTTTTCCATATGAAATAAAGATTGTTAATATACCTGTGGATGAGGTGCAGTCACTGGGGCTACAGGAGCAGCCATCTCCCAGCGTTTCCAACTGCATGTTCAAGAATAGGGAACAGAGAAGGACACACTTTGGTTTTTAAATTAGAAAAATAAATCCGGATTATATACACTGCTGTCTATCTTCTGAAGGACAAACTTGGCAAAAATCAGGACTCGAAACTCACAAATGTAGTGAAAACTTAAAGAAAACTTTTTATGTGAAAAACTGTGGCTCTGAACACTTCATTTCCTAACCTGAAGTACCACGACGTGAAGTTACCAATAACTTAGAAGTCTTTGGGTAATTCTCCCCCAACAGTGAGGGATATTTCTTTCTAATAAATATTAAAATGACAGACACAGATCAGAACAAAAACACAATTTCTTCTTTGCAGCTGTTTCTGACACAACTATTTCCTTCAGCTACAGACAATTGCAATTAACTTCCATAAACAACTGCAAAACAAAGTGGTTCAGCTGTGTTTCTGCTGAGTCTCCAGCCAGCGGCCGATGGCCATTTTTAGCATCCTGTTTGGCGTAAGCACAAGCGAGTGGAGAGGCAGATTTGTCATGGGACTGGAGCGTCTTTTATTGCTGATCCAGTTCTCCATTGCTTCCTTTTCATAGGAATAGCCATCTATAAAGAAACATCACAAGCTTTTATTAGCGATACTTGGGCATGGTTACACTGCAAGGATTTTTAGCTTTGTAAATTTAAAAGGGGTGTAAGGGAACTGGTATTTCCACACAGGAGAATTGAGCGATAGAAAAATGACATGGTCTGTGAAAGCTTTACAATAAAGTGGTACAAATTACAGAGCTAAATGTATTACAGTAAAACTTCACACAGCAGTATTTGGTGCAGCTGGTTAAATCATACTGGGCTTAGCAAACCAAGCAGTAAAAGCTGTTTTAGAAAGCACTGCAAAGCTGTTACAGCTGCATGGATTTGTTAAAGATGACAAAGCAGCACAACATTTGGAAAGCTCTCGCAGCCATGTCTGAAGCCATCCCCACAGCTCAGGTACGGCAGCACGCACGGGGTGGGGACAGCATGGGGGACACAACGTTGATCACTTTAGAGCAGGCCCCACCTGTAGGTGGATGTTTTGCTGCTGCAGTGATTTTTAGCTGGCTTGGAACTGTGCTGGGCAGGGCTGGCAACACCAGCTCTTCTCCACCCAGGGGACTGGCTCCGAGGCAGTCACAGGATTAAGCCATGTTTGTACATCAGCCTGGGTCTAAGGTACACAAGTGGCAAACAGGACCAAAGTACATATAAAAAAAAAAAAAAACCAAACAAAAAACCCCACAACTTCTGTGTCTTTATTTTCAGGCATCACGCACAGGACTGATCAAGTTCATTACAGACTGTAAAAAGGAACCATGAGAGCAGCCTGCCAAAGGTCCTGTGGCTGGAGCCTTTCAGGGGCTCAGGAGGGCCAAGGTGTGGCTGGTGCTGAGCTGTGCAAGGGATGCAAAGAGTAACAAGAATCTACTTATAAAATACATCACAATATTTGTATTTGCTGGGAGAGGAAAGATAAAGGGCACTGAATCATTACTGTACATGAAACAGTTGGTAATGAAGCTGGTCTGTCAGATTAAACCCTTTGGTTAATAAAACTATTAGGTTTTAATCACAATTTAAACAAACATATTTCCATTCAGCTGGTTCCTGAGTAACTTTTTTAAAAAGAAACCTTTCACTTCAGGAACCCTTTATAGTAAAAAGAAAAAAAAAAAAAAAAAAAAAAAAAGCTGACTGTGACTCTGGCCAGTCCAGGTTCAGGCTTTTGTCTCTGCCTGCAAAGCACCAAAGTTTGTCACGCGCCTGTTAAACAGGACTTGCTTTCCAGTTTGAATGCTCTGTAATGCGACGCACGGGCTCATCAGCATCCAGGGGCTGACACAGCTGAAGCCCGCTGCTGCGCAGGGCTCAGCGATGGGCGCTGCGCTGGCCGACCAAGCCCTCGCCCTCTGGCCCACGTCAGGACTTCAGCTCTTCCAGTCAGCACGGAAAGGAGCCGTTAGGTCAAAGCCCCGTGAAGACCGGCACTGTTCACAGAGCACCCAAAACCCACACTGGGTTGTCTGATGATCACAGGCCTCCCCTCCCTGCCCCCAAGATTAGAACTATAAAACACTAGTTCTTCACAGAATGTTTTAGCAACATGACATCTCCTGCTCCTTGCATAGCTCAGGCCCAAGGTCTTGCTGAATTCAAATGAATCGCATGCTGTACAAACTTCTAAGTGCTGTATATATGGTGTGCTAAGAGTAGTAATGAGCCTGGGTTTTGTTCCACCCCCCGTGTGCACAATTCCATTTTGCACTTACTGAGAAGGCACTGTAATTAGGCTGGTAATTGTATTTGCAAAGGCACATAAAGGAAGGAACATTAAAAAACCCAAAAATCTATACCGCCTCATCAGCAGAGCTGACACGAAGCAAATTGCTCGACACAGTATTTTTCTTCCATATCCGAGATGTAATTTGGCAAAGTAAGCACATGCCACAGTTCTATTTTGTTGCAACAGCTCTTTAGAATAGTTTATCTTTCTACAATTAGTAAGATACGCCCACTTTTGTGCTCCCACACCTATCTTTACCCTTAAGTCATTCATTTTAGTCAATGATGTCATTTAAAGACATACCTGCTGCAATGACAGGGTCCTTCATAAGCTCCCTTGTTATAGGACATAAGAACTCATCAGGGATGGTAGCAGAAACAGAGACCATTGTCATCCTCAGTTCTTCAATCTTCTGGAGGACTTTGCTGCGCCGGCCTAGAGACTCTGAAAAGTTAATTCATACATGAAGCGGACAGCGCAGGCGTAAAAGCCAAAGAGGTCAGGGCTTGCACGTACCAGCAGTTGTGCTACAGGAGTCACAGCTCCATCTTGCCATCCCCACCTAGTACAGAAAAAGCCTGCAGACAGCCCTGGCCACCACTCCAACCACCCAACCGCCGCATGTCACTCCCGTTGGAGTAAGGAAAGCAAACAGTCAAACAAACGCAAGGGCAACGCTGCTGCAGAGACACAGCCACCTGGCAGCAAAGCATTTTGGGGGATGCGTAACAGACTCACGCTGCTGCACGTGCAAAGCTAACGGTAGATAAAGCTGAGACACCGAGGAAGACAGCGGTGTTCTCCCTTGAAACTGGACTGCATAAATAGCAGTATGAAGGCGTAAGAGTGCACAAGTGCCACCATCACCTCCAACGGAAGACCACCTAGCACCAAAGCACCTGCGTGAGGACTCAGCACCCTCGGACCAGGTTTGCCCTGCAGCCTGGCACAGGGTCATATGTATGTCACCATTATGGACATGAACTGGTAAATTTGTCACAGATCAGTAAAGAGCCATTCAGATGTTGCTTAACCTCCCCAAAAGTCCGATTCCAATAAGGCTGACCACACGTAACACAAGGGCTCTGCAGCTGGCGCAGCATTACACAAGGCAGGATGAGAAGGACGCGGTAGCTGCTCCACTTCCAACCCTCTGGGTAACAGCCTGGTGGTTTGGCACTGCCCCTAGGCACCAGGCAGCCTGGATTCCAGTGTGCCTCAGGCTCTGCAGCGTCAACGCCGCCTCTCTCACTTCCCAAGTGTATATATCAACTGCTCTTCTAGTAGAATATTACACCAAGCAGGACAGCAAAATTCACTGACACTGTAGCAGGATCAGGAGACTCCATCAAGAGGCGCTGCCCCCTGTTCCTTACACTCTTTGCACTGCGTAATCACAGAAAAAAACAGATCGGGCAGAACCATTTGCTCAAGTATAAGCTTGCTAGCAGATACCTAATCTTCTACCTTTGAGCCATGTCTGCACAACACACAAACAATTAGACTCACACAGGGGTTCTGAGACTTTGCATCCAGGCCTTACGAGTTGTGACTCTGTTACCGGAGATCCAGAACCATGTTCCTACTTCTTGAACTCAGGCCACCCCTAATGTATGCATTCACCTTCACTGTAAGTGGCACCACCGAGTGCCAATTTACAAAATGGAAGCATGCAGCACCAAGAATAAAACCACGTGCCAGCTGTAGGGGCTCCATCCCTTAGTTAGAGTTACAGTTTGATTGACCTATTTCTAAAAATGGTAGAAAGGACGACTCTGGGAACTACCAACCAGTCAGCCTCACCTCTGTGCCTGGTCAGAACATAGAACAGATCCTATCCTCCTGCGAGCACGTGGATGGCAGGGAGGTGGTTCAAGACAGCCAGCGTGGCTTCACAAAGGGCAAACCAGGCCTGACTAATCTGGCAGCCTTCTATGACTGCACTGGTAGATAAGGGAGAGCTACTGATGTCATCCACCCAGATGTCTGTAAGGCCTTAAAATGCTCCCACAGAACATCCTACTCCAAGGCTTTTTACACTTACAAATTATATTGAGATTAATGTATGGGAACCTACATCTTTTATAAGTTCTCATCAAGTTTGATTATATTTTCTGAGATATATTTTATCAATACCTCTGCCAAATACTGTTCATAATCCAGTTTAATGCTTGATGCCAACCTTTGGGTGGGTAGGTGGTGGAGACACACACGTTATGTTTATTCCCACACACTCTGCAGAATCAATTTCTACTTCTCATTCACTAGAAACAAACCCAAATACCACAGCGGCATGACAATCTGCAAAGAAGCACAGGACATCAGTGCTTCAATTAGGCTACTTGAAGTGCTCTATTACGTGACTTGGATTTACAGTTTCACTACCAAACAAGACAGCCCAAGCAGAAAGCAGTGAAAGGACCATGCACTCACTCCGTGCAAACAAAAACATCGCGTATTTGATTTAGGGGGGAAAAAAACCCAAACCAGCTGTATCCAAGAGGAAACTCATGCTGAAGAAACACATGGAAGAGGGGCCTGTTACTGTGAGCAGGAAGGACCTTTGGATTTAGTAAAGATTCAATTAATTCATTTCAGTTCAATTAAATATAATCAATCTCTTTTGTATAAAAATGACCTGTGAAGCCTGAGTGCCAGTATTTTGTCTGAGTCTATGAAAATTGCATTGGGTGTTGTTTTTTTTGGTTTTTTGAGGAAGAATACGCTGATCTGAGATTTGTGGGACTTGCAAGCTCTTCGCTCTACAACGTACATATTGTGGTATAAACTGTTCTTCACGATCGTGTAAGGCATCACAAATACCGATTAACACATACTCCCCCAGAAAGGACTGCAATTAAGTATCCCGTAATTTAAGTACTTACTATTACCTATTTACTGAGAATATACAACAGCTGTAAATCTGAAGAAAGCTGTATCTGTGTTTGAGACAGCAGCCATTCTTTCCAACTTAACTGTGAGCAGAAGAACAAAAAAGAAATCTGACAATGAGAAAAATACTTTATAGTTCTATAAACTGTCACACTACAATTTTAACCTGCCAAGACTGGAAATGCATCCCAGATATCAGTAATCTTAAAACCAAAAGAAAGACAACCCCCCCCATCTTTGATAGCACATCGCTGATGAAGAGAAGACAAAGTCAGAAATTTCAAAATTCAGTTTATGCATATTCACCCTTGGTTTAAGTTATGTTCTAAGGACACCCTGCAGTAAGAGAGAAGAGGGTTGAGCTGTCTTTAAGACAATCTGTCCTCTTCACGTACCTAACTGAAATCAGCAGAGTCACGTGAAAAGCAGCCTTCTCAATGTGCTGCAGAAGAAGGGAAAGTATTTGGAACGCCTCCCAACTTTTTTACAATTTGTGGTATTACAGTACAAAATGCTTTGTATGGCACTAACCCCTAAACTGAAGGTGTGGTTTTCCAAAAATTAGACCTAGTCTCACCTCCTGCCCACCCTCTGCAGACAACCTGAAGTCAAGATTCACCTTACTTTATTGCCTTACTTTACTCAGTTAGCCTGATAGGAAAAAGAGTATGCAAGCATGGAACAACGTACCCCCCACCTTGTGTTCTGAACTGGAAGAGGATGCGTACTCCTTTTTTTCTGACCCAACGGTATCACACAACTGCAATGACTGTGTCACTGTGTCTGTTAAGAATGAGAAACCCTGAACTTTGTTGAATGTACCCAAGCTTTTCAGCCAGAATGTATACAAAAGTCACTTTACTTCTGCTCAACATAGTACAGAGTTTAATACAGTGTTAGTTATGTTATATGACAATTAGGTTGGAAAGAGGCTAGTTCCATTTGCATGGTAATGAAGCATTCTTTAAAAAAAGCTGTCAAAAACAATGAAAGAAGTTAATGAAATGTTATGTGAACCACTTGCTGATCGCTTTCTCTTAGATTAAACGCCTTCAAAAGCGTGAGGATGCCCTTTTTATTAAATGCAAATCAGAGCTTAAGCAAAGACTAACAGGACAAGAAATAAGCAGCCAATAAAAAGTAAGAGAAGAAAAAACTCCTACCTATTGTCAACTAAAATGGTCTAAGAAAAACTTCCCTTTGCAAAGACTGTAAAAAGACTCCAGAATTCTTCGGCAAGGTCTTATGGAACTGGTAAATGTTGCATTTTTTAGAGCAAAGAAAACAGCTATCAGGGAGAGAAAGGATGTTTGTATACTGACAACTCCTAAACTTTAGTTAAGTTACAATTTGCATAACACTGAAAAGCAGGTAAGTTCTAGGCAGATAGTATTTCCCTATTTTGTAAATGCTTACGAGGGGAAGCAGCCTCAAGTTGTGCCAGGGCAGGGTGAGGTTGGGCATGGGGAACAATTCCTTCCCCTTGGGGCTGTCAGGGGCTGGAAGGGGCTGCCCAGGGAAGGGGTCGAGTCCCCAGCCCTGGGGGGATTTAACAGCCGGGCAGAGGCGGTGCTGAGGGCCAGGGTTTGGGGGTGGGATGGCAGGGGTAGGGGCACGGTTGGGCTGGGGGAGCTTAAAGGGCTTTGCCAACCTAAGCGATTCTGTGATTCTATGCTTGAGCCATGGCAGATAGAGAGCAATTCTTCAAGTCAAATATATCAGGTCATAATTTCTATTCTGTGCCAATTATAGCTGTAGATCGAAACGTAGAAGCAGAATCACAAGCATTCACTACTTCAAACCGATTGATTTGAATGTTTTTTTCTGGCAACTTTGAGTAGCATATTTCATTATTTTCTTTTAAAAATGTCTTTCATATAACCACTGAAGTGGATCTCATTGCTTCACCTTGCATACATGCTGGTTCATATTTGTGGAGTAGCTGATGTTTATTAAAACAGTAAGTGATTCCAGTTAGAGCTTTTTTAAAAATTTCTTAGAGCTGCCTGATACCTCTGAAAATCTGACTCCTTACCCTATAATTTTCTGGTGGGTGTTAAAGTACCTACTGAAGAAAAAGCACAGCAAAAGACTGAAGTCTTGAGAAGAGAGACTGAGCAATGAGCATTGTACCTCATGATGGGAGAGAACATACCGAAGCCACTTCAGCTCCTACGAACAACTGATCTTTGCTGCATCCTTTTATAGCAAATGAGAGAGCCAGAAAGCAACAGCTGCCCATAGTCAGCCTGCATCCCACATGTGCTCCGTCTAAAGCCACATGCCTCCTGTGCATCTTACAGCCTACCTTGTACAATGGGCCCTTGCGACTCAGATTTTATTTTCTTATTTGAGTTTGAAATTGTTCTTGATGGTGTCATTACAAATCTATCAGGCAACACACGCTTTTGTTGATTTTTTCCCCCATGGAGAACACTATACTCAGCAAGCCAGTTCTCATCGTTGGTCACACTGCACTCAGTTCTAGCCAGCATTATTTCATTAGCCTCAGCTGGCGATTGCTGTAACAGAGTTTTAGGCTACTCTAATGTTAAAGAAAATGTGTGCAGAAACTGATGAAGCCAAGTGCCTTTTGTGGATGACAATTCCGGACAGATTTCTGGCATCGCTGTTGATTTCCAGAATTCAGCAAAGCTAGCTGATACGCAGAGACACTATGCTCTGCTACAGACCAGTGCCACACCCACACCCCCATAGGAGCACTCTTCCTATGATGAAGAATACTAACTTCTGAAAATAAAACTGTACTTTTTAACAGGTTTCTTAACTCTTCAGCCTTTTGCTATACTTGACCTCAGTTTGGGAAGCATACCAGCACCTAATATACACCTAAATCTAGCCATCAAAATGAATAGACAGCTTATATTCAGAAAGTTCCAACGTAGTCCACCACCCTTAAATCTCTTCTTTCAGAATTACTGCTGTGGAATCGTGACTAATAGGGCACCTCCTTGTGATTCCTTCTATAATGTAATCACAGTTTTGCAATAAAGTGACAGAACAACAGATTAACTAGGACACCTGATGAATTACAAAGTGTGTGAGCCAGGCAAGATTTGCTTGATCCTTACTGAATGTCAACATCAAATGCTTCATCTCCAAAATAAGTAAAAACTAAAACATAACTTGTATTTTTCTATGATGGTAACAGTACACAGAAGAATTCCACTGCTAAATTCAAGGTAGTTGAGCACACAATAGTATAAACGTGTCACTTTTGCAGACTGATAGGAAAAACTATACAGTACCCTATTTACCAAAGTCAGAATCATTAAGTATACCCAAAAGCTGAAATTCCTTTCCCACAGCTTAATGATACAAGATCTAAAAAGGAGAATAGAAACAAAAGCAGGTAAGAGCACTTAACGTGGCACTGTTGGTGGAAGTGCATTTTACGTCTCCAGGTATTAGAAACACACGCACACAAAAAAAAAGTCTTGTGGATAATGTGACATTAAGCATTTTTATCAGCCCTGGTAATGAAATAAAAATGCATTTCAGGGAAAATGCCATCCATGTTTGGAACTTCTAACTCACTTTCATTCCAACATTTCACACATCCTCTAAAGATTAAAAACTATTTGGATTTGTATTCTCTTACCAATTTTTAATTCATTAGTCAGACTTTCTTTAGTAAGATTCAGCAGCTCCTTGCCATCAATGTTATTCATCTTGAAAAGCTCGACAAAGTCTGCCAAGTCTTGTGCATGAAGCCAGGCTGAAACATCATCCTCTGACCAGTCCTCAACAGCCAGCTTAGACTCATTTTGTACAGTATTTCCTTTGGAAAGATAAAGTACAGTTAAAAACCCAAGCAAACAACACCCTCCCTGCCCCCTCCCCCCCAAGCAGCAATGAAAAAAACCCATTCCTAATAGCAATGGCAGTGATGGACTCTGTTTTTCAGGTGTTCTCAGTACTATACATTCCCCAATGTCTAACAGAAGAAATGCTTATTGGATGTTACTTCAGTGAGGGGCAGTAATCTGGGTTTGTCTTTTACCTATCGATTTTCAAAGTTCAAAGGAATTTAATCTCTTGGATGCTTACACTTCTGTCAAAGTTGAACTGAAGTAGAAGACAGAAAAGCACCAGCAGACACCGAAACCAAGTCTCACGCTTCCTTAGAAAAGCAAGCAAAAGCCCAGGCTTACTCTTGTGCTGTGAACAAAGATCTATGTACCTTTGTTCCACATACTTCAGGTGCTGATGTATTTTGTAACATTAATTACCCTGTTTTTTTCACCTATAACAACTGTAAGCTGTGTTTCTTGTTGACAATTATGCTTGCAATTAGCATATTTTCTGTTTAACTCATCGCCAATGATACTTGTCCAAAAAGTCTTTCAGCGCTCTGGAAATAATATTCACCTCTTAAATGCTGTCCAGAGAGTAAGAAATAGTGAATATCAGAAAAGACGATATAGCAGGTTAATAAAATTAAAATACTTCTACTATATCTTTTCTTTAAAAAACAAAAAGAGAATACCTCTGCAGACATTGGTAAGATCAGTTCCGAGAAAAGATAAACAATGTGCATATAACCCTGCAGTTACAAACTAACTGCATGTAAGAAAAAGTGGTGTTACCGCATCTTCAGATGGTGTTCAACAATACTGTGCTTTAAATGTAAAGACCAGATTACAAATACCTCACACACTAACCTGCACAGGGTTGCTTAAGGTCAAACTGCCATATGTTCACAGTTTTATCCATTGAACCTGTGGCAAGTAAGGGACTATGTGGTGCAAAAGCACAGGTTGTAACATATCTGCAAATAAAAATAAAAGTGTGAAAACTCACATGAAAAGGACTTTATTTCTTTATTAGCAGTAAAACAGAAAAATCATACTGAATTCTTACCTGGTATGCTGAGACAAAGTATGAAGGGTATTGCCAGTACTCTGTAAAAGAATATTTGTGTTTTAAATCTTAAAGAATAAAAAGAATGTTCATTCATTTGTGTACTTTCTTTCAAAATAAGGAACAATATTGCTTCTCGGAAGAGGACAGAAGTTACCTTCAAGGGAGTTCCACAACCTTGCCAAAGCCGATCAGCAGCAGAGTCAGAAATGCAACCTGAACTTCCTGCTTGAGGCCCCCTATTCAACTCCCTGGAACGCTGCTATCCTTATCCTTCAACAATCAGCCAGCATGGAACTTGCAGCGTAACTATGCCAGAAATGCCAGCGGAATTAATTACATCCATATTGGCTGGTTGCTCATGTGGATAAAACATTTCTTCTACAAATGTAGGACTGGAAATGACCGCAAGTCAAGAGGTAACTGAAATTCAAACAGACCTCATGCTACAGTCCTTGAACTGGGCCAGTAATTACTCGCACCCGTGGTTCTCCTGTTTGGCCACTAGATGCTACTGAAAACAAATTCCTGAATTTCTGCAGTTTTAACGTATGATGTGAAAAATGTCCTTCTCATGAAAGATACTGTTTCTCTGACAGGTACAGACAGACTGGAAAGATGAAGAGCAACGTCATTCTGAGTCACCAGCTGACTGGTCAGCACTCCAGTTTTCTGAGCCGTCCATCACGAGGAAAGTGCCCTATTTTAGGTTGAAATTGCTCTCCCTCCTACAAAGGCTTTTTGTCCCCACTTCTCAACAGCTATGGAAGTTGTTGTCCCATTTGGCAAACACCCAAGGCCACAAAAGCTGACAAATAGCATTAAGAAATACTTATGCTGTGGTTTTCTGCATCCTTCAATGTTTTGGGGTTCCAAAAATCTAGCGAACTTCTTACCTACCTGTCTAAGCTTCAAACTGCTAAAATAACTGGGCCAAAAATTAGTGATTGTGGTGAAAAACTTGAACCCTAACTGAAAAATTGTATCAGTACAACAGTGTATGCAGAGCAAGCCGGAGCAGCTTAAGACCTGTTCATCCTTCATATTTAGCAACATTATTTTTAATACTATAACATACTAGAGGCAAATACCACTTACAGGTGACCCACGAAGGCTGTAACAACAGTATTATAGAAAATGCCCAGGCAATGTGTTTTAAAGAAAAGATATTGTATTTAACATAGAAATTTTCTTGAATTCTTTATTATGCTTCTATTTCATGTGCACTTTATATATAATTAACTAAAGAATTTTTATGATCACCATTCCCAATTTTATGTCAAAAGCTACAGCCCTTCTTGCTTTGGAATGTAAGATAATTTTAGGATAACAAAAAAATCCTTCTACTTCAATATGAAGATAACATGTAAGTATGGAATTCATTGAATAGTACTCTACTGTAGAGAAATCAAATAACAAACACCTCAAAGAAATGTATTTATACAGTTCCTACTCTTCAGTATTTCTTTACGTTGCTAAGACATTGCAGAAGTAATGCTGATATTTAAAGCCAACAACCCGAATGATCTGTGCTGTACTTACAGTTTCATGTATTATGACACACTTGTCCACAGACCTTTTAAAAAAACCACATCAACATTAAAATGATGCAGAGACAAAAAAGGAAACTATTTTTAATTAAGTAGAAGAAAAAAGCCTTTTCCACAAACAAAATAAGAGCAAACAGATTTCTTAACACCGCTTTATGAAAAGCCTAGATATCCAAAACGCCTCCACCCATGCCCACCTTAAAACACCACTGATTCGCGGTACCTCCAGCATGATGTAAAAAACAGCAGTTACACACGAGAACCCTGTACTTCCATGAGAATTCCTGATGCAGGATCTGCACAGTGCTTATGCAAACTGGCCCCCACCCCCACTGCTCCCCACTGTCTGTACCGCATCTACTTTGTTTTTCCAAGCAGCATCTGTAAAGCAGATGCAGAGAATCTGTCCATCCATGATCAACTCTCAGGACTTGTGATCATTTTTGAAACCTTTTCATTTGCGAAGCAAATTAGAGGAAGTAGTGCAACGCAATACATAAAATACAGCGGTGCGATGCAATCAATACTTAAAGTATTCCGTGAAATACAAATTGCATACTTTTCTACCATGACAGCGGTGTCTCCAGAAAGACTTTATGGAGTAGACATTTCACATCATTATGACAATATAAGCAAAAACAATAATCCGTATGTCTAATGGAAACTAGCTCTAGATCACAAACATTCATAACGATCTTCAAATAGTGAAAAAGACTCCCCTAAAAAGAATACAAAGCAAAATGTCTAAGCAAGCTATTGCCTGCTGGGGGTTGTATAATCTTAAGTTTATTTGCTGGCTATTGTAATCTTTCCTTTGCAAGACATCAGTTTTTCCATTTCAGTTTAGAAAATCTTCGTAAAAAAGACAATTCAAATTTCAAGTTGAATCATTTTGTTATTTCAAGTCGCCACCTAGTTTAGAAGTGATTAAGCACTCTTCAAGGGAGGTGCATAATAAAAGCATACAGTCATTAATATTCATAAAAACATAAATTATTTAATCTACCTTATTTGTTATTCCTCTTTCAATAGCTTGATCCCGGAGGAAGACCACTAGTAACTAGCTGACAGTTTATCTCCATGCTGCTGATCACCAACAACCATTTGAGCCTGACAACCTATCATTTTTCCACACAACTTATCATCCATGTTCCTGATCTGCATGTGCCCAGTTTGGCTACAAGCCTACACTGGGGAGACCATGTCAAAGACCTTGCTGAAGCTGAGGTGTAAAACGCAGGCTGCCTTCCCCTTGCCCACACCGCCAGCCCTCTCATCGCAGGAGGCAGGCAGGGTGGTCAGGCTCACCTTTGTTCAGTTCCTCCTGCTTTCCCCAGACATGTCGTGCTGGGAAACAGCTTCCAAGCCCACTGGATGGATTTGCTCCGTAACCTTCCCAGAGACTGGAGTTAGGCTGACTGACCTGTAGCTCCCTGGATCCTCTACCTTGCCCTTCTCAGAGGTAAGTGTGACATTTGCATCTTTCTAGTCATCGGGAATCTTCCCATCACCTCCACCCTCCTCGGTCTTTCAAACACAAGAGTGACCTTGCAATGACACTGGCAACCCTCTTATCACCCTCTGACAAAGACAAATAATAATATTAGTCTCCAGTTGACGGTTCACAATTAATTTGGGTCTTAGCCATCATTCTGTACAGGACTGACATGAAAAACACAAGTCTCCAGTTATCTCAGTCATGCACTCTTTATGGAAAAAAGGCTTACGCTGCCATACGCTGGGTGTGGATCAGTGAAGAAATCTTTAATTTCAACCCAACCTACCAAAGACAAAAATCTCAAGATATTTAACTTTCTAAAAAGTTCATGAAAGTGCATGAGAGAGAAGGAAATCATAAATGAGCGTCCATAAGTGCAATAAGATTTCAATGTAGAGTTGTATTTTTAATAGATGCTAGAGTATCCACATGAAAGGAGACATAAATGCCCCCAAACCAGGAAATCACTGAATCTCATCACAATACTCAAGAGGCCAGAGCTTGCAACATCCTGGATTTCAAACTCAATCACAGACGAATTGGAAAGGCACTTCAATAATTCTGGAAGGCACAGAACTATTTCTTAATTATTGGAAATATATTTTGAAATCTCCAACTCTTTTGAACTTTGTTTTACAATACTGAGGTGTGAAGCTGGACAGCCACCCGCATGAAATTTAGGCAAGTAAAAGATACTGCTTACCCTGAAACTAACATCTGCCCATCGTAAGAAAATGCACAAGCCAGAACCGGGGCAGAATGTCCATTCAATGTGCATTTGTATTTTAATTCAACACCTAAAAATACAAAAAGTAAATTATTACATATGGACATATTTGACAAGGTGTAAGACACACTGCTTTTAGAAGTGTAAAGCTGCATCAAAGATCTGACTCCGTGACATACTGTCTACAAAAAAGGGATAAAAGATCAGAGACAATTTTAACATCTGTGACTTCCTCTGTAGTCTTAGTATGTCTTAATGGTGTTTTAGATAATTAAATGTGTATCTGTACACACAATATTTATCCTTACAGACTTGTATATAAAAGAGATTACAAAAATATACACACTGAAGATATTTTTGGCCATCTGCCTAGTCTCCACATAGCAGCGACACATCTACGTTGCAGTTTTAGCAGGAGCCAACACTGTTTTCATCTCCCCAGCTCTTGCTCAAGGGCCAAGATGTACTGAAACATGAAAGGAAAGCTCTCCCTGGCCTGGTAGATTAAGAGTTGTCAACCTATCAAACTGCTCAAAGGCCACAGTAAAACGTTGCTGGTTACTGAAAGATACAAATGTTAATTAAACCCAAATGTTTATCATAACATTACGTTTGAGGGAATTGAGGGAATTTTTTTTGAAATATTTTATTATTAATCTTTATTTGAAAGCTTATTTATTATTGACAAACAGATCATAGGGCCCAATGTCACAAAGTGCTTCATGCCTTGGCTGCTCTCCTGCTAAACAAATCAAAGAAAACCTTCAACTTGTGGTTAACTTGGCTGTGAATCCATGACAGCAGTATAAACTTGATCTGAGATGTAAATTGTCACTAAAGACTTAAGAGACTGGAATATGAAAAAAAATCATCACTATACACACCTGGGAGATCTGCAAACAAAATAAACCAGAGTTTGATCTGATTATCTTGACCACAAGAAGCCATCTGGAAGTATCTGAATCCACGTTCACCATCTGATAAAATTCAAATATATTAATGGGAATCAGAAGCACTGAAAATAACAGCACATCAGTAAACTGTATCAGCATTCTTACACTGGAATTTGGTGAATTTCCTTAATCTCAGTACTCCTTTTTAAAAGTGTTAATAAAAATAACTGCAGAAGTTCTAAAACCATTCAGAAGTAAGAAATAGGTATCACTGTTACACTGTGTCCTGAACCAGTAGATAAAGACCAGAACTGGGCTAATACTTTAAGTTTTCTTGATGGTCAATGTTTGATTCCTCTGTCTACCAAGTGCGACAATATAGTCTTTTAACCTAAATGATATAGTTAAATAAATTTCTTCTACAGTTCAGTACTCAAGCTTAACTATACACGCACGTACAAAATTTGAGAGTATCTGACAGGCTATTTTCATAATTTTAAATGCTCAACTCTTCATTTTTATAAACTAAGTGATGTTTCAAGACTGCAGTCCAGCCAACCTCTCTAGAAACACTGCATTAAAGATGGAATACAACAGTAACAGTTTTATAGCTTTCCCCTCTCTATTCAGTGGATATGAACATTTCTGAATTATCGTGTTCCATTCTAGTTGTGTTGTTTCAGCCCACTATCAATTTTTTTATTCTTAAAATCATTGCCAAATAATAATTACTGCCAAATTATTTCTGCTCTTCTACTCCACTGAGCTGGCATACCAGCCTGACACAAGTCACCGTAACAACCCTTCTGTGGCATTACCTCTGCCAGTACCAAGCCTCAGAATTCCTACAAGAATCACCAGGACTAAGGCTGGAAATCAGAAAATTTTGCAACAGACATTTTAAAGGCTCATCTTTCCAGCTCTGTAAATGCCAAAATATTTAGTGTCAAGCGTCTTACAAAATAACCCCAGAGATTTTATCTCCATTTTTCCAACATAAAGCATATTTTAATTTCATATAGTTAACACAATAAAACCCTAATATACATAGATCTGTTTGTTCACAGAAACAATCAGAGCTGCTATGACCGTGGCATATCTGAGGACTTACCTCAAATCTGCTGAACATTAAAGCATCAAAGTGTATCACTTTTGCTAGGATTTTACAGTGTAAGATTTGGGTCTTAAAAAGGGATGCGTAGCATGCATTAGCTATCATGTTGTAAAAACACATGCTTCTTGGTAACTAGGAAGATATTATTTGGAAACTCAGTCTGGATGAGAATTCTGACATGATTTGCAGACTTTGACAGTACTTTTAAAAGTTACCGACTTGTTAATGGGGTATTACATTGTTGTACAGGCAGAGCTCTTTGGGTTAACTTGGAGGAAGACTACACTGTCTTCCACTGAGGCTCACTAGAAAATTTTAGCAAGATCTGCCAATTTTTTACCAGTATCACTAAGTAATTTCACTGAAGTTTAGATATTCAGGAGGAGGGAGGGCAGCACTGAAACTTTGCAGTCGGATGAGAAAGCCCACACAGCATCACAACTGCTCCAGATCCGACGAGCTTCTGTGCAGCTGTGACTGAATCTACTTTAAAGGTAGGGGAATCATCTGTTGCAAACAGTCTAAAGCACAAAGCACCAACCAGAAACTCTGGTTCTAACTTTGCTCTGAATTAAGCGGGTAAAGAGAATCTCAGTCTAAAACCATCTTTCGTTGTAGTGGATAAGCACTACTTGTACGGATTTTGTAATGTGTTAAATCTGCCAATAGTCCCAGAAGTTTCAATCCTTGGTGATTAAACAGCAACACATCAAAAGGAAAAATGTTGACTTCCAATAACATATGGCTTAAATAAAATTAAGAATGATCATAAATCAGCTAGAAAAAAAACCCACAGTGTAGGAAATACTTGCTTTCTTGCCTGTTTCTCTCTCTCGGCAGAAGGGCAGAAAGCTGAAGGGCTGGTAATGTACTTTTTTAAAACCAAAAGAACAATCTCAACAGGGAACGGAGCTGTGGAAATTGCACTCTGACCTGTTTCAGCTTCACCGTGTTCCTTTGCCCTCACATGCAACTCTTAGCTCACCATGGAGTTTTTTGGGTGGTATTTTCACCAAGAAACATCTAGAGGTGTTATTTAAACATTAATCCCCTTTCTGTTGTGACAGATTAATTCAATGCTGTCCCTACACCTTTCAGTGGAGACAGATTTGATTGATTTGGTATTGTCAGCCACTAATTCTCTGTACTGACGTATATGCTGACATCCTACCTCCTCAGTTTTCTCCTGCTTCCGTCCTCCTTTTTTCCCCACTGCTTCTCCTGCTTTCTCCCTGCCCTGTACCACCTTCTCAGACAAGGTGGCACACAGACAGCAGCACTTACTGCTGCGTTTAGCACTGAAAGAGGCAGGTGGCTGCTCAGTTACAATTTTTGGTACCTTTGAAAGAGCAGCAAACCAGAAGCCTAAGTATCTTTATGGAGACCACTCTGTCTCCATAGTAGATCTGGAAAACACAAACGTGTACCTAGAAGGTTGTTGAGACAAGTTACAGCATTACTTCCTAAATCTGACAATGAGGCTTCTGCCCAACTTCCCACCCTCCATCACAAGCAGGTGACTATGTGATTTTCTAACTCTTTATTAAACACTTTTACCTGAGAAAAATTTTACAAATTAACCTTTCAGCTTTTCAGACTCATAAATACTTCAGAATCCCCAATATTTGGTTGTTTGGCTGTGACACTTTCCTGTCCTGCAACTAACTTCTACCAGGATATTTCAAACAGAAGTTCTTTTTTGCACAGAAGTTTCTTCCCACTACACAAGCTATGTAAGCTTAGACACCCAGCTTCAGCACTCCCACACAATTATGCAAAAAGTCTGTATTGCGACACAATTGTACTGGTTTTGGCTGGGACAGCAGCTCCCACGGTGCTGTATTTTGGATCTGTGACCAAAGCAGCGCTGATCACCCCCCCACCCCCCCCGCAAGGGGCTGGGGGCACAAAGAGCTGGGGGGGACACGGCTGGGATAGCTGAGCCCAACTGACCCCAGGGGTGTCCCACACCATATGACGTCATGCTCAGCACATAGAGCTGGGGGAAGGAGGGAGGACATTTGGAGTTAAGGCATTTGCTGTTCCAAGCCACCATTATGCATGATGAAGCCCTGCTTTCCTGGAAATGGCTGAATGGGAAGCAGGGAATGAATTCCTTCTTTTCCTTTGTTTGCATATGCAGTCTTTGTTTGCTGTATTAAATGGTCTTTATCCCCACCCATGAGGTCTTGCATTTTTTGCCCCTCGATCTCTCCCCACCCCACTGTGGGAGAGCAAGCAAGCGAGCGGCTGGGGGGGCTGAGCTGCCCACCGGGGTTACACCACAACAATGATTTTTAAAGCCTGTACACACAAATGCAAAGCTTTCCCTGAGATAACTGGAAGATTGCAATTTTTAGTATACATGTTTTTGCATATAGAGAAATCTAGGTTCTAATTATTTTAGTTCCATAGAATGCCTTACAAATGTGAAATGAATGAAAACTGAACATAATATGCAATGCAACCCTGAGAAAGGCCTACACTACGCATGCCTGATGGGTTTTATCTCAATACTCAAATATATACAAGAATATCAGATTTCATTCTCAAAAGAAAAAAATTAAGTCTTGAAAACAAGAGCTAGAGAGAAATAAAACAGCTCTTTTTTTTCCAAGTCCCTCCCCTGATGAGTCAAGTAACTAACCAGAAATCGGCTGTGAAGAAATATCACAGCAGGTAACGCCAAGATCATGTGCTTTTTCATTATACAGGCACCTCATTTTATCATCCCAAATGGTTAAATCACCACACGATGATCCAGTGACAAAGAAATTTCCATTAGGAGAAAATGCACAGGCCACCAAAGAACCATCTTTAACACTCCCCGATCTGAAAAGCAAGAGTACATGGGATTTGAATTTAGCATAAGTAATGTTCTGAAGAAGTGATCTCTAAAATGCAATCTGATACAATAAGCCAAACTGTTCTAAGTTTTGCACTTCGGAACGTGGTAACAGAAGAGAAAGAAACTCATGCCGACTGCGGAAAGAGATGCGACATAAGCACAACTGCAGGAACCAGGAGCTGCTCTTTGACTGCAGGAGGAACGGTGTGAGATGGCGTCCCAAAGCAGTAATTTCAACTGAGTGATAAAATAATTTTCAAACTAAAGACAATCTGCATGGACTTACCATTTGAAAGGCACAATGCACTGTTAAAATTCTATGGCAGGATAATTTCTAAAAGTCAAAGATAAACAACTACCATAACACGGATCTACATGTACACAAACAGGGAAAAAAAAAAAAAAAGAAAAAAAAAAAAAAGACTCCCACAATTTCTTTGTTCTGTTTCTAAAGACAAAACAGAACACCTACTAACCCATATGGTAAGAAAAAAAAAAAAAAAAAGACTCCCACAATTTCTTTGTTCTGTTTCTAAAGACAAAACAGAACACCTACTAACCCATATGGTAAGCTGTAGCAGAGTAGCATACTTTGGGATTCATGATACAGGGTTAATTTTGGGCTACTCCTACACAAGAGAAGCAACATGAAAAAAATTATTTCTGTATTTTAACTAAGTCAGCCAAAGCACTTTGTAAAACTGAACTGAAAAGAAAATTCCTAGCAGACATGGAAGCGTGGTCAATCCTTGGGAAGGGAGTAAGGTCAACCTAACATCCCTTAGTTTATCTGATAGTAGACTAAAGTCAATTGAAAGTGTCTCACTCCTTTTAATGGACAATAGATCCGGCCCAGCATGCATAGTTGAATCTTTAAGTGCAGGAAGAAAAAAAAAATCACAGCCAGAAGCAAGAGTCATACAGCAAGAAATATCAGTCTTATTTACTCTGTCGCCGTATTTTGTAGAACAGCTGCTCATTCTCTCTTGCTGATAGGAATTTTATTTACTGCCAGAGGTGTGAAACTTAATGCCACAGAAGACAACTCAATAAACTTTGCTGAGAGTCTCCCTAATCAGACCCAGTACCTTCAAAAAAAGCACTGACGCCCTTAATTCTATCATTAAGAATACTATCCAATACACTACAGTGCTTCCCATTTTTATATGTACAATTCTTTTTCCTTAGTGCAGCTCTTAAAACTTTCCTTCTTTCACAAAAAAAAGACGTAACAGAAAAATGTAGCAGTAAAATAAATAGTACTACACATGTTCAGAATATGTATTTAAGGCTTTCAGGCCAGATATCAGTATCCTAACTCCTGAACAGGAAACAGAGAACACTTGTACACATATTAACTTGCTTTTGTGCTGTTCAAATCCATCACAGAGATGACTTAAATAGCCATTTTACTTCACAATTTGAACAAACAGTCAATCACAGCAGTTGAGCTGATGAGCAGTAACTGGATACCTTTGCTGGAATTACCACCCGTATATTTAGTCAAGTGACCTAAGCGTGGTAAAAGGTGTTCTCTTTTTGAGCATCAACACAATCAACTGGGAAAAGAGACAGGGGACCACAGACTGACGTTAGATGGTTAACTAAAACCCTCTGACATAACTTAAGTACCTTGATAATTTCTAAGTAATATTAATCTCAGCTTTAAGAAAACAGGACAGGTACAATTACAAATGAGAATAATAATAAAAAAATTAATCAGCCAAAAAAAATATATATACACACATGGCAAAACACATATAATTAAAGTTAAGCTGACTACAGTTGGCATGTTAACACTTTGAAATCAATTTTTAAAAGTGAAGGGGACAGGACTGGAATGTTCAAGTTCTTCCTTGTTTCTTTACAATGGAAACACCAAAGTAGAATAATTTCTGCTTAAAACAACAATATACTTTCTATGTAGTTATTATACATCCACCATTCAACTAGGAAGAAATTAAGGGTGTAGTATAACACATGCATCACTGCATGTATTAACAGCATATACTTGTAAGAAATTACTTTTTAAGGCTTCTGGGATTTTCCCTGTCAGTAACAAGTATTCTGAATAAAAAAAAAAAAAAAAAAGAACCTCTTCACTGGTAATACCTCAGAATAGATAAACCCTTAGACTTTAGAATACTAATAATTGAAATTCTCTATTTTTCTTAAAAATAAAACTAAGAAACAATATGTCATCAGTAAGCCTATTCTCTGAAAACAAACCACTCATTTTAGTGTTTCTGTATGCATTACAAACAACAAGGTGGCAAAAATTTATTAGAATTCTGTTTATGGACAGCTTTCCAGATTTACACAATTTCAGATAACTATAATCAATCATTTTCAAAAATTTTACAGTTCCCCTCTAAACCACTGCTGTGGAAGGCAAAGGTAGAGAGGCCACAAAAGCAGTAACACGTTTGACAGGGGATTACCAAAACCAAACAAGTTTGGCTTTCAGAAAAGGCTGCTCCCTTACCCCAAGTGAAACATCTCAGCAATTCTCTCAAATTCTTAACTTCTTTCCTAACTCTAGAGAGATGTTGTGTAATTGCTGCTCTAAAACCTAAATAATGTCTCGCCTAAGTACAGATTACAACTGGCCTGAAGACGTTACTGAAATACAGAGATGTAGAGAAGGACTTGGAAGATCACCCTAAGGTTCATGCCTTTAATTGTGCAACATCACTAAAAATACTCATCTGCATTGTCTCAAGCGTTCGCTGGATATCCCTGTGAAATGCTGACTGTCACACTCTACTCGCTCGGCTCCAACACTTCCTTCTGTCACTGTTAGGTCTTAAACTGTATGGTTTCAGGATATGTCAATAGCTTCCAAACTCCTGGATTGCTGGATTACTATCAAGCTTCTAAGATGTTCCTGGACTCCAAATAGCCTTGTAATTAAATACTTAATTAAAACCCACTAGGTATAATGCAACATAAGGCATAGTCAGGCTCTACTAACTGTTTATTAGGTATCAGAGTTTGCTGACCCACAGTTTAGAAACAAGATGCATGCAGTACGCAATGCAACCTGATTTCATGTTATATCAACGAAAACACTTCCATGAACTTAAAAAGAACTGGGATTTAGATGAATGACAACTTAGTAAAAAATAAAGCTTCTTGAGTTTGCATTGTTTAGCTTAAAAAAAAAAAAAGACAACCAAAACTCAGCACCTCTCCCTTTCCTATTGATAATCTTTTGGTCTTCTAAATCCTATTCCTTTTTCTTCGTGATATCAATCAGTGGTGTAAGTCTGCAAGTCTTGTACACAGTACAGCATATCACTTAAATCATATTCTTGTAGTTGTAAACAAGGATTTTAAAAAGTATTTGGCACTCACCTGTACAGTTTCAATGACTGCATGTTCCAAAGAACTACACTCCCATCCGCTGCCCCTGACACTAGGTATGTGGACTCAGGAGAAAATCGGCAGACTCGAACAGGACTGCCACTGGGCTGCTCTAGCACTGCCAGCATCCGGCCATCGCGAGTGTCCCAAACCACAGTGGTGCCATCTGTTGAACATGAAGCTAAAACACGTCCTGATGGAGAGAAGCAGCAGCAGTGGACAGCATACGTATGACCTCTTAAAGGCGAGTACGGAAGCTCAGTAAAGTCGTTTAAAGAATAAATGCGAATTGTTTTGTCCAAGGAACAAGTAGCCAAGCACGATGATGAGAAGGCACAGTAGTTGACATCATCACTATGATCTGCTAAAGTGTGAATTAATGTCGCCATTTTATCTACTTGCAACAAAAATATCTGAAACAAAGATTAATGGTTAGACTTATCTATTCTATTTCATAAATGAAACATACTACCTACATTTTTAATGTCAACTTGCAACTTTGCAGTACAACATACAAGATTACACAGTAGCTACTTAAGTCTTAGCGCAGAGGAAAAACAAGTTATTCTAGTTATTTAATTTATGCTAAGAAGTTTGCTGCTCAAAATTGTTATTATTTGCATCTACACTAGACACAATGGAGTGAACAGGCACTGCAGAAGACAGTCAAAGCATTAATTAGGGTTGCACCAGGTAAATAAAATCATAGAATGGTTTAGGTTCAAGGGACTTTTAGAGATCATGTGGTTCCAACACCCCTGCCGTGGGCAGGGACATCTTTCACTACACCAGGTTGCTGAAAGCACCATCCAACACTTCCTGGGATGGAGCATCCACATTTCTTCTGTTCCAGTGTCTCATCACCCCCATAGTAAGGAATTTCTTCATCACAGCCAATCTAAACCCACCCGCTTTCAGTTTAAAACCACTGCCTCTTGTCCTGTCACTGCAGGCCCTGGTAAAAAGTCTCCCTCCATCTTTCTTATGTACAATCCCCTTTTATATAGTGAAAGACTGCAACAATGCCTCCCCAGAGTCTTCTCTTCTCCAGGCTGAACAAACCCGATGCTCTCAGCTTTTCTTCACAGAAGTGCTCCAGCCCTCTGATCACTGTTATGGCCTCCTCTGGGCCCAGTCCAACAGGCCCCTGTCTGTCTTGTACTGGGGACCCCAGAGCTGGACACAGTGCTCCACGTGGGATCTGACGAGAGCTGAGTAGAGGGAGGAGAATCACCTCCCTCAACCTGCTGGCCACGCTTCTTTTGATGCAGCCCAGAATATGACTGGAAAACTGGGCTACAAGCACACATCGCTGGCTCACACCTAATTTTTCATCTACCAATATTCCCAAGTCCTTCTTCGCAGGATTGATCGCAATCCATTCATTCCCCATTCTGTACTGATACTGGGTATTGCCCTGACCCAGGTGCAGGACCTTGCACTTAGCCTTTTTGAACATCATCAGCTGGCCCACTCCTCAAGCCTGTCAGGGTCCCTCTGGATGGCATCCCTTCCCTCAAGCGAATCAACTGCACCACTCAACTTGGCGTCATCTGCAAACTTGCTGAGGCCACACTCAATGCCACTGCCTGTGTCGCCGACGATGACATTACATAGTATTGGTCAAAGTATGGACCCTTGAGGGACACCACTCGTTACCAATTTCCCTTTAGACTTTGAGCCATTGACTGCAACTCTTTGGACACAGCCAGCCAGCCAACTCCTTAGCCTTCTAACAGTCCACCGTCAAACCCATCTCTAATTTGGAGACAAGAATGTTATGTGATACTGTGTTGAAGGCCTTACAGAAGGCCATGTAGATAACACCAGTAGTTCTTCCCTTGTCCACTTCCATTGTAGAAGGCCACTACCTTAGTATACCAATTATTAGTGGTATACCAATTACTAGATTATTATAGCAATAACTTTTTTATTAATATGCTCTAAATGAAAAAAGCCTGGTAAGTTTTCCTACCAATCTAGGCTGACAGTGACAAGGTGTCTTTGCATTTGCTTTCAAACCATCCTCTAACTGGAAGTGTCACCTATCCATTTCCAAGTCATCCACATCAACAAACTTTTTTGTGAAAGTGTGGAACTAGCAGAAACATGTCTCATCATACCTATAAACCTGAGCCTAGGAACGAAGCAGGTTGATAAATCTCCAGCAAGGAGCAGGCCACAAATGTATGCTAGAACAGAAATAAAAATCACAGGCAATTCCACTTAAGTCTTTGCTTCCGAAGACTAACAGCTGTTTTGAACTAACGGCTAGAGGAAGCAAGCAAGAGCAAAGAAAAAAAAGCTAACCTAAGGTACGGTCTGGGGATGTGACAGCTACTGATTTGCTGGGAAAGAGCCAACTGCATCTTCCTTTCTGTTATCTTCCCTACTCTTGTCAAATCAAGTTATCTGTGTCAACACAGGCCAGGTTGTACTTCTTCCTGGAGAGATCTGGTGAGGTGACTAAGTGCAGGACCCCATCAGAGGGAGGAGAAGGCGATTTATTTCCTCACCCCTGCAATCTCCAAATATTCAAAAGAACATCTACATCCTCTCTCAGCAGTGCTGTGCCTCTGCTTATACAGCAACCAATACAAAAAGGCAGGCTTTGGAGCGCTCCGTGCAGGGTCAGGAGTAGGAAAGCCTCTCTGGAAGTCAGAGGGCTGGTCTAAGGGGCAGGGACAGAGCCACAGCTGCTTTACTAGAACTTGAAAAGACTGGTTTTCTGGTCCTTCCTAGCCCCCTCCCCTTCTCCTTGGCGCTAATGGGTGAAAGAGGAAATAAGCAGTATTGATTTGTATGCACAGGGAGAAGCAAGGATCCAGAGAGATACACAGAGCAGCAGGAGAGAGACATACAGCGATGGGAATCTAAACTACTGAGCAGGGGCAGGCGGGAACAGAGCTGGTCAGAGGACTGCAGAGGACTTACACAGACTAAAACATCGTGACAGAAAACATCAACTGGCAGCTGGAGAAAATTTCAGTGAGGTGCGAACACAGGGCTTCCCTTGTGCTGCCAAGAAGCTCCTGTCATTTTTATCTTCTGTATTCTTTAATGTTTGTGTACTACCGTGCACAGAGGATGCAACCAGGATGAGGCCCCGCTGTTTTGAATGCAGTACAGAAAAAAGATAATCTTGTACTACAAAGTTACCTAAAAAGAAGCAAGCGGAGATAACAAAAACAGAGTAACTGAGCACAGAATCAAGGGTTGCCTCTTCAGAATGTTTTATAGTAAAATGTAAACATTAGGAGACTTCTACAGAAGCAAACAGTCAAAGATACTGCTTGCTCTTTACATGTTTTATAGTAAAATGTAAACATTAGGAGACTCCTACAGAAGCAGTCAAAGATACTGCTTGCTCTTTATTCACCTTAATTCATTATTGAGACATGTCCTCAACTCCTCTTTGCTCAGTACGCAATAGACCCAAGAGCAATGCTTCAGCTATAGCAAGAGCATACAAAAAATAACCTTACACTTTTACATAAACACTTCCAGCAGTGATAACCACATGTATTCAGCATTTTTTCTCTTCCCACTTACAGCTCCAAAAAAGTATGTTTGTATGTCATCACTGACCCCCACCCCCCCCTTTTATTTATCAGGTAGTAGCGTCAAAGACTCCTGGAAATTATTTTAATTTGGAGCTTGCTGAAACACATTCCAATGGATTACACATTGCAGTTTTCAGATTCAACAGTTGATATGCTCTTGCTAAAAATACAGCATTTAGAGCACTTGTTATAGTACAACTGAACAGACAACTGTATATATTCTTTAGAACAAAAACAGATTAAACAATAAATTCCTATCTGCAGGTCTAGATGAACACTGAGGTTTGATGACCAGAGTCCAAGATACATTTTCCTTTTCGGGCCTGAACACCTTACTCAAATTCAAACTTCTGGTACCTTTCACAGTCAGGCAGCAACATCAGTGATGTGAAACACCAGAGTAATACCAACAACGGGCTTGAGTCGCCAATCAGAGATTTAACCTGACCATGTAAATCAAACATCACACACACTCGACATTTATATCAAAGTCAAAATGTGAGTATTGAGAGGGTAATCAGAATCTGAACCTTGCCAGAAATTCCATTTGCTGATACATAAAACAACCAAAGAAAAGATGATCTCTATGCACGTTTTCCAAGTACTTAAGGCTGCTGGGACCAGTTTAGATCTCAGCATCAGACAAGTGATTTACACTGCTGATGTCTGGGAAAGCTCCTAAAACGTCCGTTCCAACCCGGTCCTCCCCATGCTGCAGATGGCAGTCAAGCTTCCCGAGAATAAGGAAGCATAGAGCCAAAAGGAAGTGCCTACAACTCTTAAAGTTCTTTATGCTGAACAGCAGCAGCAACGCTATTCATATCACGTTAACTTATCTAAAACTGCAGGCTACCATTCAAGTGTTCATTATGAACGATAATTTCAGAGCTGAGGCAACTGCAAACAGGTGTGGTTTTATATACATACACACACATTTGGTTTTATATATAAATATATACATACGCTCCTGTATTGGCATATAAATACATGTATAAATGTATGCATACATGCACACATATATACATATAGACACAAAGGTGTATATGAAGGCAAAATAACTTTTCCCTTCAGCCTATTTAGTTAAACACCAGATTTTTGAATACTCTCTAGTTCAGCCTCAGGATTCTCCCATTTTATTGCTGTTCTCTTTAAAGCCATTAAACAGACTACGTGGTGTCGACACCACCTCTTATCTGCACAGGGAAAATCAACGTACTTCCCTCAACTAGGAGAAACCAGAGAGCCAGACAGCGTGACACCTGGAAAGGCGAGGCTAAAAAAGGGACCTTAACCTCGTTGTTACGAGATTTTCAGGAGCTCGCTACAGACAAAAGCAAACCTAGGAACGAGAGGTTCCGGGTATCCATGGTTTAAACCAGCAGAGGGAGCCAGGAGAATCCGGAGCGGTTGTCACCGGAGAGGTTTGGCGCTACAGCGTTACCTTCTCTCGAGATCGGATTTCCCGTGAACCCAGCCAGCAGCTGCTC